GGCTAAGCTCATCTGAGGGTGATTTTAACATACCAGTTATTGTTACTGGATAATTATTAGAGGAATTCATGGAACATGACCTTGTTGCCATATAAATGGTGGGAAACCCTGCTCTTCACCTGATTAACAATTGACATTGGCCAGTTTCAAGAAGATAGGAATGAAAACTTGAAATTCTTTTAATGCAATATTATTAATATTGCTATAGATACAGAACTAGAGAAAATTGTTCTTACTGCTCAGAACATTTGTCTGATTTCCGTAACTGTTTTCTATAGAGTCCTATTGATACATTTCAAAGGATGGTTTAGGCATGATACAAGCATACTTTGTGGAACTGATCAATTAAGAGAGCAGCCAGTAGACATTGCAGCCCAGCATTCAGAAATTGTTTAGCGGTGTCTCTATAGCAAAGAGAGGGGGCTGGAAAGACTGCTCTTCTGGAGCTCACTCAGCTTCTAACCTAGAGCTCAGGCTAGTATTGGATGGACTTGGATTTTCATGAGATGAGAGAGATAAAATCAGGCTGCTGCAGCACCTTCTGTATGGGTCTGTGGGTGAAGTTACTCAGCTCTTCAAGATTGTCCACGTGTTCTCTTCCACCAGGCTTTGCCTACATCATGTGTCTTTGTGCAGGAATCCTGAACAGACTGTGAAATTGGTCAATAAACCTGGTATTGATCCCTCACTAAAGGTAGGATAAGGCTCCAGAGAAAAGACTGTGTGGAGTGAGCTTATGGCAGCTAAATGAGCTGAACATGTACCAAACGCTTCCCTTTCCTAGTTGGGGACCTAACCTGTGCTTCCGAAACCCAAAATCTCAAGCACTTCAAGCTGAGAGGAAAATACCTCACGTCTAGGTGGCTTGCAGAAGTCCCAGTGAAAGGCATGTGTCCCCATGAGTCACTGGGGGAGCTGGGGAGCCAGGCAGGCAGGCTGCCAGCGGGTACACAGGGCCTGCCCAGGGGCACCCAGGCACTGAGACCCTGCCAAACTGCAGCCACCCCCTCCTTTGTCTGAACTCCCCTGGGGGCAGTGACCCGCAGCGCTGGAGAGCAGAGATGTACAGAACAGGGCTGGCCATTTGGACATACCTACTGACCCCGTCTCATAACAGGAGAGAGCATTCAGTGACATTAAAATAGAACAAATTTGCAACGATATCAGGTTATATGTTTTATGAGCCATATAATTAACATGCGACACTCAGTGCCATGGGATATTATGGACTTAAATAGCTTAGTAAGTATCAAAAAGGATTAGGCATTGACATGAAACAGAATAGCATATGCACTGACACAAGCTAGGATCAAAATTACAAGGGCTACCAATCCTTGTGCTTCAGGGCATATTTTGATCATCAGCTTGGGGTCAGGAGAAAAGCCACTCTCTAATCAGTGGTGTGCAGTATGCACGTAGGTTATAGTTATACGGATCTCTATTGGCCAGTTTTGATTCCTTTCCCTTCTCCTTCTCTGTCTTCCTTTCATCCCCTCCTGTTCCCCCTCCCTCACATTTATCATCTGGAATAGGTCCCTACTGAAGACAAGACACTAAACGAGATGGATGGCTGAATAGTCCGTACTAATAGGGTAATTTAATGTTTGCTTCTCTCCAGAACTCTAACATTTATTTCAAATATAAATTTTATATACACAAACTAAAAAGCTCCTCTCTTTCCAACCTTCCTTCTATGCATGCTACTTTTTATCAGCTACACCTACAAATCCACTTAGACTTATTTGAATCATGATTTTTCAGACGTAACAAATGAACCTGAGTTTGGGAGAAGGAAGAGAACAACCAGGCACATTAAAGGAACCTGATTTTTCTGGTAGATACTCAACAATTGCTTAGGACAAATTTTTTTTGAGAGATCTTGTATAGCCAGCATGAATAATCTCTTATGAAAATAAGGGTTTTTTTTTCTGTGTACATGACTGAGTCTGTGGACAGTCATGATAAAATGATGCTCGATTTAGGTAACTCTTTGCATTTTTCTTTGTGGCGTCTGAAGCAAAATAATTGTTAAGAATTTTAACACTTTCCTCACTTTCACCTGCCAAAAAATTCCTCTTTTTAAGATGATGCAATATTTCACACAATTCTAGGGGTTTGGGTGTTTTGTTTTGTATTTTCATTTGTTACTATACTGAAGTAGTGCCAGGAAGCCCCACATAAGAGCAGGGCAGGTTGAATTTTATGTCCTGTAAATGCCTTATACACTATAATAGACAGACTGGACAGCAGAGGCATAGAGAAGAAAAATTACTTGATTCTTTGTGGGACCCCAAGTTTATGGCAGAAAAACAGAGAATGTCTACCTAAAAAATATGCCTACTCGTTCCGTTTGTTGCTTCTTTCTTTTTTGCTTCTTTCCTTCACCCTCCCAGACTGATTTCTAACTCCACCTATTCTTACCCTTCCCAGGTCCTTTATTTTTGCTAACGCACTCTCTTCCTATCTGGCACTAAGCAGCGCTGCTCCGCTCGGCACACTGATACGTGCTGCTCTTTGTCTTACTCAACCTTGCTGGAAAGACGCTACCATGCAGCTTCTCCGGCATCCTTCCCATTTTCCACAGTGGGTTGAATTCCCATTAGTTTCTGTGAACTCATTCTGTAGTCCTTCACTCTGCTTCCCAACCTTTTGTGTTGTTGCCTTCCCACAGACATTCTTCAGCGTGCCAAAGCTGACCTTAGGCTCCATGGACAGATGGGGCCTGATCCAAAGTCCATTAACATCAGAGGAAATGTCCATTTACGCCCATGGGCTTTGCATTAAATCCTCTGCATTTCACTTACTTTCTTTAGTGCCTCTTACTCAGCTCCAGTTATTAAAATCAGATTAATCCCTGACAGTTCAGGGTACTGTATAAGCCAACCTGTGCTACTTCAAAAGATAAGAGACCAGAACTGCTACTCTGCTAATGTGAATTTTGCAGCTGGCTAATACTAAAAGCAAGGCATTACTTCCTGATTTCATTCCTGCATAACAGGTCAGAATCTCACTTACTGTTCATTAGCTGAGTCTCCCGTTACTAGCGCACAGGCTCTCTCAAAACCATTTCTTACTGTTCAGATATTTTCTGGTCCCTACAGCATTATTCTGCCCAGGCACCGTTCAAGATTCACCTCTGTTTGCAGTTTTACTCTCGGTATAAGTAGACTGCTATGTCAGCCAGAACATCAATATTTCTTTCTGTTGACACAATACTCCCTTACCCATATTGCCACCCCTCCTCCTGCTTCATTTTGTCTACATTCCTTTTGAAAACTCTACTCCCATAATTTAGTCTCCCACTCAGTACTTGGTTTAATCAAGTCTGTCACTCAATTTATATCCCACTTCTCGCTTAACACAAGTTTCTTGGTTAGCAATCTGTTTCTGTAGCACTTGCTATGCATAACACATGGTTAGCTTTTCTTTCCACACTTGCTTCTCTGTTCCCTTTCTGATTTCCAGACCTCACTTTTCCTTGTAACGCTTGAAGATGAGAAACTTCCTCTTCTGTCTCCCTTTTTTTATGTTCCTCATGTATTTTTATGAGACCACTGCAATCAGGGCTTCTTAAATATCATGGGGTGCTTTGTACGGGACACAGAACAGGCTTTGAGTCCCGTTAAAACAGTTTTCAACTGCAGAATCTCACTCAGTTTAATACATAGCTTCGGGTAAACCTCTCCTGTTGCTGTATTTCTTTGTCGTGGCTTGTACCCCTTTCCATCTTCATCATCTTTCCTCGGTTTGTAGGAACACAGGACAAACGCACAGGTTCAGATTCTCTCCCTCCGGCTGCTCATTCAGCACAGTGTGCTAAAATCTGGTCTTAAACATCCACCCTCAGTTTTTGTGTTGAGGAACAAAGAGCAGAACAGGGTCATGTTCCAGTTGCTCCGTACATTTTAACATAGGGAACTGGGTTGCATATACCTTGACTACATGGCCTACTGCAACCACAGCACAAACTTAACAGCTCACCTTTCCTGCACAGAGAGCATGCAACTTCATTTTGGATGGTGGAAGCACGCTGCAGGTTGTATATCAGCAACATTGCCCACCACCGCATCCAAAATCTCCCACCTGAGTTTCCTGCTATCAGTCGATTCCCCCGGTAAGGACCACAGGTTGTCAGACTGCTTTCCTCCTCATCTGCAGCTCTTGTAGCTGTCAGAGAAACTGGTGGACCACTGAATGGGGCTGTTGGAGCCGTTTTAGCTCAGCAGGAGGCAGATTCACTGATCTGCACCTGTTGGAAAGATCATTTGTTGGTTCTCTGAATTATTTTGCTGGGTCAGCAGGTTTCCAGGTTTAAATGCTGGCATGGTGTAAGACGCAGAATGCTGTTGTTTCATAATCACCTTCTAGAAGCATTGCTTTGTTGTAATGCTACTGTTACATTGTCCTACTTTTGCTATCTACTTTCTGCATAGGCTGGGTGAATTTTGCCCACTGCATTACTTAGGTGTAGGCTTTGCAGCAGCGGGCTGGCTGCATTTAACCTGGAGATGGGGAGTGGGGGAGATAGGCTGGTGGCTGCTGTCACTGCTTTTCATGTGATTGAGTAACACGACAATTTCCTAGTCCAGTCACAGAGCAGTAATGCATGGTACTTACACAGTACTTTTCGTTTTCAGATCAGTTTAATACTGCTCCTGGCTTATGGTACGCTCATCTCTCTCTCTGTATGTTCTTAACACAGTTCATGCTCCCAGTCACGCAGGAGAGGCCAGAGCAGTCCTTCCCTCTCTGGCGGATCAGTGACTGCCCTATATAAATCTGCATATTAAGCAGATTTGGCAATTGTTCAGGCAGAGACTCACGTAAGTAAGAGGTGAAAATAAATTTGCTTATAAAGGCACTGCAGACAGCACTCTCGGATGGTATGCTATTAGAGACAGAACAGAGGCTGGTTTGTTTTCCTTTGCAGTTGGAGACTGATGATTCCGGTTTGTCTTCTGCATCCAAGTCCCATCACCATAAACCATACGTGTGTGCGAATGCCGGGTCTCAATTCTTTTGCAGTTTCAAGACATTTCGCGTGTTACCACTCTATGATGGTTCATTTCCGCGGGGACTCTCGCAGGCACCCCCCAAGGTCGGGCAGCCCGACGGCGCTGCCCGCTCCGGAGCGCGCCGGGCCCAACTTTGAGGTGGATCAGGAGGACCTGGGGCTCGGCTTCCCCCTCCCGCGGGGGCCAACGCGGCGCGCCGGGTCCCC